ATACTAGCCAGGATTACAAAGAAACAAAATTTACTACTATCGAAAATACTGCAATGGCAATTCTGGAGTGTTCGATGAATCACCATTACATGTTTTATATCTCGACGCGGACTAAATAACTCGGCGGATCGAAGAATTACATTTGTAATTAAATAATTCGTATAGGTTTTTAGAAACGTGGTAAAAATCGCAGAACAGTGTCGTACACATTAATTTGTGTAAAGTTATTATATTCACCCTGTGAACGTTATTCTGCCATGTGTCCAAACCATATTTATTAGAAAATAGCCAATATGATGTGACAAGGACTGCTATTTTCAACTCGTTGGTAAAACATTATTTAAATAAAATCTATTCTCAAAAAGCAGATTAAAACATTGTAAAAAAAAGGTTTGTTCATATCACGGTGGAAATAATTTTAGTATTACCTCCATGGTCATATTGAGATAAGATATGATATATGCACCATATAAACCAATGACAACACCGTGGTAACAAAATTGAAAAATGGCCGACATCATGATTATATTGTTTTAATCGACAGTATAACATAATGCATTCTGGGTATTATCATTTCACATAATTTTGAAAGTAATAAAGTTAATCGAATTGTGTAGCATACAGATGGTAGGTCGGCTTTTGTTGTAAATTGTGTATTTTCGAAATGTAGTGTCTAATTGGTATTTTCAGTCTTGAAATTGGTTATTTAGTAAAAATACAATATTTCTATAAACACTGTGTGTGTGTATATATATATATATATATATGTATATAGTAAGAAGCCTGGAAGTGACGTAGAGTAATATGTAAATTAGACGCAACAATAAACAATAACAAAACACCTAACACTTCCTGGCACAACATAATATTGCATATAACCAAATTTACAAAAGAGCTATTTAAATACTGTAGAATACTTTTCAACTCAATTTATAATTCAAGTTATTTCAACTTTATTTACAAGTGCTTATAGCGACTGTATATTGGAAGAAACCTCATGTAGACTTGTTTCACATCGTATTCAAGTTGTCTAATGTCCCGTAAAAGTGAAGTGTATGGTGTTTTCTATTGTACTGTCTATATGACATACACCATCCCTGAGATGGTATGCCGCATTAGTAAGTGACGACGATTTTTACAGTGAAGACATCAAACTTCGATTTGGTCACATCACGTATACATTTGTTTGTGTTGATCGCATGGTATTCGTAGTTCGGTACATTTTGATTTACATTTTTGACATATTTTGCAAAAAAATGTTAGTACCAATCATCATGTTTAAAAAAAACATATGTCACGTATAGAACTATTAAATTACCACTCAATATAGCAATATTTGACGGAGCCATCGATACAATATTAGGATGTGATTATCGGCCATTTTTATTTTGTAAGATCTGTGTTGGGTATTGCAAACATAGAGCTGATAATGGACGTTTTCTCGGTTGCTGGAAATCCAGTTTTTTGTTTCATCGTTGCACAAAATGGTCCGACATTCAGCCAACAAATACACGCAAACAACCGTACTTGTCCAGGTTAACGTCAAATCCATCGAAAATGACATTTCATTAATTCACATGTAATTACAAATGATTACAGGCTTTCTATTTAATTTGATCGTTTTGACATGTTCGATCGTAATGAGTCTCAATTTCTATTTCAGACCTCGCATACCCCGAATACGTATATCGCGTGAGCCACCACTGAAAATATTGATATGCGCATACAAATATAGTTGGGTTCATCTACTTGTTTACTTCCACGTGCAGACAGTTAAGTGTGAAACGACGTAGTTTTATTTTTCAAAATAACATTAGTGATGGGTGCGTACTGATACTAATAAAGCGAATATACGTCTTATTCAATTGATATCATACATATCTCGGGTTAGTAGGCTGTCAGTCTCCACTGATCCGATACAATACCATTTCATATTTTTATAACATAAAACGCCCATTTCTGCTTCAAGCTGTCAAGCACAGAAAATGACAGTTGTCGTCACTAAGATACAATAATAAACACGCCGTTTGTTGTCCGAGGTCACGGCTGTCGACAAAGACGGTAATGACATTATCTGGTTAAATAGGATGAAAACAATCAGCCTCGCGTGGCTGTCAATACTGAGTGTATGCAAACTTGACCTCACAGTTGTCAACTACTATATTTCACTTTTATAAAGAGGCCATCGGTTGTTTTATTCTGTTCTTTTCGTGGCAGAAGTATATTCGGGGAAAGTTAACACATCAAACCAAATTGGCATTATGTAGACATTTTCTAGTTGCGGAGTATTACCCAGGGAGATATACATGCAGAACAGGAAAAATAGAAAAATCCTACTTAAATTTGAAAATTAATTATAAAACAGAAAATTAAGATTCATACAATGCCATTATATTCAGACTAATAGTTACGGGTTATACTGTGTGCCATGTTGTTGAAAGCTACTTTTTTATTTGGGAAATTTAGAATTGATTTCTAGTCCTTTTCATGGACATTGAACCCAGTTCAACAAGAAGATGAGGCCAAATTGATGATGGAATGTTGATATTTGTTTCTATGGAAACAGTATTGCCTTTTTCGAAAGATGTTTGATACATGGCCATAACTTATTTGATCCAACCAATGCAGACACTTTATTACAAGTATTACCCTTCCATTTAACTATTATTGCATGATGACAAATAATGAACCAGGTAATAACATCAGTGATGTTTTAATTGTTTCCACAAACCGGCTATGAATAGGTTATTCGACAATAAAAAATACAAGATGAACACTAACACAGCATGAATAAATAAATTATCCCAATTTTCTACATCAGATTGGTTATTGCAGGAAACGACCATCGCATAGAGAAGGTGACGTCATTAGGGTGTTCATCATTGCCACCACAATCGAGCTAAAGGTCACTGTGAAGTATACTAAGAGCATAGAATCTATTGTATCGTGCCAGTGTTATTAAATAAACTGAAAGGTAGCCAGCGAAAATGCATTTGAAGGTTTCTTTAGTTATTTTATCGATCCAATTGTATGAGTGGACCATGCTTTAATAGTAAACGCTCATAGAATTCATTTGAGTCTTACCAGTGAAATTGGGCGTGAAATGACATATAAGGGATGGACCATATTACGCATCGGGCGAGGGAGAGCTGCGTTCAAATAACACCCTCCTACACACGGTACTGGCCAAGTTGAAATCTTCCCGTCCACAGAAAGTAGTACACCTCTCCCAATTGCTTCTAGTTATAAACGTGGCCATGGCAACAACCTCAACGTTTTTATATGCCGACTATACCTATACAAATACAACTGAATGACAACGTCAAACTGATGTTTCATGCTGAGCTTGGAAAACGGAAAAATGTATACTAGTATTTACTCTTGGCTGAATCGTAGGCTAGGTCGGCGACAGTCTGCGGGCAAGGGGGTCAAACCCTATTTATATCCATCCATCACTTTATG